GCAGAGTGCTGGCCAATGGTTGGCAGGGTCTGCTGGCCACATGCTGAGGACATGATGCCACAGGGCCCTGCTCTGCCACAACTGGGCCTCAGTCTCCTCACCTGCAAAAGAGGAACAGGAAGTGTGTCTACCTGCAGGGCTGTGGAGAGACTGAACGGGATAATCCAGGTGGAGTGCTTGGTAATATGGAAGACCTAGTCCTCATAGCCCCCAGCCGAAGGAATGAAGGAATGTCTCACATCCAAAGATCCACCGGTAAATGGTAAATGCTAAGAGAACGAGAGAGAGACAGACAGACAGACATTGGGCTACTAACCGCAAGGTCAGCGGTTCAAAACCACCAGCCGTTCTGTGGGAGAAAGGGGCTTTCCATTCTTGTAAAGATTTAAAGTCTTGGAAACCCACATGGGGCAGTTTTACCCTGTCCTACAGGGACTCCGATATGAGTTGGCATCCACTCAATGACAGTGAGTTTGGCTTGTTCTCTGGAAGAGTCCCAGTGGCAAGGTGGTTGAACCACTCAGCTAATTGGCAAAATGTTGGCCGTTCAAACCTACTCGCAGCTCCTCTGGAGAAAGAGGTGGCAGTCTGCTTCCCTGGAAGCACTGTGGGGCAGTTTCTACTCTGAACTGATTGGCTCGCCGGATGTGGATTAGGCTTTCGCTCTCTGGAGAGGCTGGGCTGGCTGCTGTGGCCCTTGGCAGCTCCAGCAGAAACCATAGTGCCCAGAGGCAGAAAGGCCGCAGGGGAGAATGAAGTGCAGCCTGCGGAAGACAGGAACTGCCCCGCTAAGGGACCGCCCTCTTCCGGTTAGCAGGCTGGGAAAGGGGGCCCATCCTCCTCAGTGTCTAAGTGCAGAGTTCGGCTTTTGCATAAAGAAAGGGGTTCAACAACCGCTGATGGGATCTGGGCCGAGGAAGAGAATCCTTTTTCCAAATGAGAGAACATTTGACTGGGGGCTCTTTTGAAAGGAGTTACAGCATTTCTTCCATGAACGCTAACTTCCAAGCTAAGCGTTGTGGGACATCCACTGACTGACAAACAGGTCGAGGAGGCAGTTGGACTTGGCACGGTGCACCCACTAGCGATCTCAAGGAGGACCACACTCTCGTGCTTTCATTGCATAAGGACCACAGTCTGCTGCTGTCCGGATCCCTCACGCTCCTTAGGACGATGGCACCGAGAGCCATTGAGCCGCATGACGCCCGCATGTTGAGATCCAGAACTCCCTTAGGATTCTGGGAATTCATGTCAGGGGTAGAAAGAAGGTATCACTTAGGGTGTGTGTGTGTGTGTGTGTGTGTGTGTGTGTGTTTTTCCCTCTACAGGAATTTTATGGAGATGTATGCATAAGGTTAACGGTTATTGGAAAGGGGGTGCTTCTCTCCCTTCACCCAAGAGGGGAGTATTTGTAGCTGGCAGAAACGTCACAGAACATTCCTGTGATGTGACTGTGTGGAAACCAGTGCTGTAGTTTTTTAAATCATTTTATCACCATCCATCCATCCATCCATTGTGTCAAGCACATTTGTACATTTATTGCCATCATCATTCTCAAAACATTTTCTTTCTACTTGAGCCCTTGGTATCAGCTCTTCATTTCCCCCCTCCCTCCTCCAGCCTCTCTCCCTCACGAACCCTTGATAATTTATAAATTATTATTATTTATTCATGCCTTACACTGATCGATGTCTCCCCTCTCCCAATTTTCTGTTGTCCATCCCCCCCGGGAGGGGGTTATATGTAGATCATTGTGATCAGTTGCTCCTTTCTTCCCCACCTTCCGTCCACCCTCCTGGTATCACTACTCTCATTATTGGTCCTGAGGGGTTTATCTGTCCTGGATTCTCTGTGTTTCCAGCTCTTAATCTGTACCAGTGTACATCCTCTGCTAGCTGGATTTGTAAGGTAGAATTGGGATCATGATTGTTCGGGGGTGGAGGATCATTAAAAAACTAGAGGAAAGTTGTATGCTTCATCAGTGCTACACCGCACCCTGACTGGCTCCTCTCTTTCTTGTGACCCTTCCGTAAGGGATGTCTAGTTGCCTACAGATGGGCTTTGGGCCATGATGACACGATGTAACTTGGGTTACAGCTAGGGTTTGCTTATCTCACCCTGAGTCAGAATGGAGTTGGTGGAATGGGAGATGGGTCTGAAGTGTTTGGCTGAGAAAGCATCAAGACTTTGAGACACATGCTAGGTGCTCGAAGAGCCTTGGTGGCGTAGTGGTGAAGAGCTAAGTTGCTAACCGAAAGTCGAAAGGTTGGTAGTTCAAACCCCCAGCCCTCTGGGAGAAAGCAGTAGCAGTCTGCTTCCATACAGACCATGGCCTTGGGCACCCGGTGGGGGCAGTTCTGCCCTGCCCTGCAGTGTCGCTCAGAGTCAGGCTCAACCTGACAGCAGTGGGTTTCGGATTCGCAATTCCCAGTGCCAGGGGAAGCATCATATTTGTGCCTTACTCTCAAGTAATCTGAAGGGCGCCTCATATCCGGAATCAATGCCAGTAGGGGGCTGTGTGACCAAACAGTTGAATATACCAGAAGGCAAGGCAGGTTGGGCCAATGAGGAGGAGAGTCACCATTGCACAGCCTGGGCGTCTGCATTCTGGCAAAGACTGGTTGGTTCCTCTGTGGAATGTCTTTCTTGAAAAGCCTCAAAATCATACCCGGTAGATAAACTTCGAGGGTCTGTGCGCCGTGCAAATAGTTAAGTGCTCTGTTGCTAGCCCAAAGGTGAGTGGTCGGAACCCACCCAGTGGGGAGTCAGAAGTCAGGGTGGTGACCTGCTTCCGAAGAGCCACAGCCCGAAACCTAGGGGGCAGCTCGCTCTCCTGTGCACCCAGCTCGGGGGCCACTGACCACGCGACGTTTTTGAGAGGTCGCCCCCGTCTGTTTCCCTGGAACTGGGAAGCCCACTTCGCTGCGAGAATAAATGGGATGTATTCTTCCGGCCAGACATGAGAAAGGAAGCAAGGGAATGAGTGCTTCCTGGATGGCGAGGTATTTCCAGACCCGTTCCCACACGGCAAGGGAGAAAATGATGGCCCAAATACGAAGGCTGCCTTGGGAGGAAGGCCTGGGAGGAGTTGGACAAAAGATAATTGGTACAAATAAGCCCCCTCCAGGCAGCTATTCCAGGTTCTCAGTGTCCACGCTTGTCATGGCCGTGCCTGACTGTCCCCTCTCGGGGTCCTGTCCCAGCAGCTGCCTCCCATGCCCTTCCTTGTGATTGCAGGGATGAGCCCCTACCTAGGGCGGCCCTGCATCCCCGATTCCGCCTTCTCTCCCCCCTGCTCCATCCTGCCCTTACAAGGCTTCACCGCAATTGTCTGCCGGTGTCAATTACCACCTCCTGGTGTCTGCTTCCACCTGCCCCTTTTAATTTAATGAGCGCAGAGAGGATCCTTTCCCCTTTCCTTCCTAGTTCCGGCGTTGGGAAGGAGTAGAGCACACCGGGTCACAGTGGATGAGCAGGAGTCTCCCAGGCTCCCGAGCTCGGGAACAGCCTCCGAGCCAGAAGGAACAGCACCTGCAAGCTCACAGCAGCACCCAAGGGAAAGGAGGCTATTTCTGGCACGGCAAAGCAAGTTGTTGCTGTTGTCGCATCTCCGTAGATGTGACAATGGGATTTGATTTGCTACGTGACAAATGCTGGAGGAAGTGAGGGGCCCTTCAGATTGCAATGACCACGTCGTTAGGTCAATAACAATCTATTGACTGGATACTTTCCACATCCGGGCATTGTGCTGAGCTGTCAACGTGCTGAGAATACAGAGATTCACGTGACAGTGCCTTCCTCATCAAGCTCATCATTTAGTAGGAAGAGACAGGTATACCCACGGATAACCGGCCGCCTCACCACCTGTGGTGCAAGCTGATAACATGCCCAGTTGCTAACCAAAAGGTTGGAAGTACGCGCCTACCCAGAGGTATCTCAGAAGAAGCTACTACCTCAGATCTGTCGCTGAAAACCCCATGGAGTACCCCAAACCCACTGCCATCGGGTCGATTCCAACTCACAGCAGCCTTTCCGAACAGGCTAGAGCTACTCCTTCGGGGTTGTGTACGGGAACCTCGTCTTTCTCCAGTCGAGCAGCTGGTGGGTTTGAACCACTGACCTTGGGTTTAGCATTCCCCCACGCTGAAGCCATAGTGCTCCCGTTCTTTTGGAGCCCGTTTCTGTCTAACGCACCTGGGGCCCAACTTGACCTGCCCAAGGCAGGTGTTCTGTTTTCACCAGCCCAGGTTCCGGTAGAGAAGGGCCTTTTCCTGGAACCCCACGTTCCAGCAATACTGCCCAGCGAGAGGTTCATGGGACGGGTAGGAATAGACACACTGTGAGTGGTCAGCCCCTCAATACAGTTGGATTCTTGATAACAACCCGGCTTCTTTCAGGTGCCTGTGCAGCGACATGAGCATCCTAGGGCTGCTGTGTATTTCTGAATCGGGGCTGCTCACAATAGATGCCGTCACAGAGAGCTCCCCTGCAGAGGGCCTGCTGGTGGGTGGAAGTGAGAGCTCCTTTTCAGTCCTTTGATGGGTGCTGGGGGAGAAAGACAAGGAAGGCAAGGCTTTCTACTCCCCAAAGCAGTTATTGCCTCAGAAACTCACAGGGGCAGTCCTGCCCCGTCCTGCAGGGTCTCTGAGCCGGGGTCGGGTCGGGGGCAGGGGGCTTGGTGTTCTGCTTGGGCTTGGTGGCCATGCGTCTTGCTGCTCCGTGGTCTTCAGGGTCAGGTTCCGGTGGCAGGGAGTCCATTCTGGCTCATCACGACCCCAGGGCACAGAGCCCGGCTGCAGCCCAGGTTCTTCTTGGCTGGAGCCCTTCGAGAAGCAGGTCACCAGGCCTTTCTGCCTCGGGACTGTTGGGTGTGCTCTAACCATCGCACCACCAGGACTCCTTAATCCTGGGGTCCTCCTCCTGCTGCCCTTCCCCTCCCTGCCCTGCTGGCGCAGCCGGAAGCGGCGCGCAGCTCTGACGTGCGCGCTCTGTCCCCGCAGGTATGGAGAGTGCAATCACGCTGTGGCAGTTCCTGTTGCAGTTGCTGCTGGACCAGAAACATGAGCACTTGATCTGCTGGACCTCGAACGATGGTGAATTCAAGCTCCTCAAAGCCGAAGAAGTGGCCAAACTGTGGGGGCTCCGGAAAAACAAGACAAACATGAACTACGACAAACTGAGCAGAGCCCTGCGCTACTATTACGACAAGGTAAAAACCCTGGACCTGGAGGGACAGGTGGGGGTGGGGGTGCCACTGCCACCCTCACGTGGCTTTGGTGAGAGGGAAAAACAGACCTGCTCCTGGGGATGGAAATGAGGATCCCTGGTGGTGCCCTCATGAGGTCTGTGGTTCAAACCCACCCTCCTCCGCCGCTGCCGCTCCAAGGGAGGAAGATGAGGCTGCGTGCTTCCCAGGCTCAGAAACCCTAGGGAGCAGTTCTGCTCTGCCCCATAAGCTAGCTGTGAGTCTGAGTCCACTCGGAGGCAGTGGGGGTGAATCCAGTTAGAAATTGGAAAGAGGGCGATTGTTGTGGGAATTTTTTTTGAGGAAAAATAAGAGGGATAGTTTTTTTTTCCCGGAAGTGTTTTAGGGGTAGGTCAAATGGTGTTTCCTCTGCATTTCCATCTGTACCAGGGGGGCGGGGACTTCAAAAGTTCATGGGTAAAAATGGAATTAAGAGATGGTGGGATTTCCCCATGGACTTTCTGAAGCCCTAGGAGGAGTTGCTGAAGAACTTTACCAGAAGCAGGGTGTAGATGTCCTGAGAGGCCCTGGGGCTTCCCTGGCATGGGGAGGGGTGGGGGGTCGGGGTGGGGAGGCATGGAACAGGTGTTAAAATCCAGCAAGTCTGCCCACAGGGCCTGGTTTGCGGGCACTCATCGGGGCTCTCCCAGGGGAGGTAGCAGCAGACCCTCTGAGTCGAATCAGAATCAGCTTTAGGTGCCGGCAGCCTGGGCAAGTTACTCAAACCCACAGGTGCTCCACACCCTCCTTTTACAGATGGGGGTGATCCTGGTACCAACCTCAGGGTGGTGGTGGAGAGGAGCGTGGCTGGGTCAGAGGTCCTGTGGGCGATTTCTTGGGAGACTCCCTTCCTGAGAAGAAAGGCCATTTCCACGTTGAAGGGGCAGAGACCACGCAAAGGGGGGTGTGGAGCGACACGCTAGTATGCGTGCCCAACGCAGGGAGGCGGGGGCGAGGTTTCCTGCGTCTCTGGAAGAGCAGAGGCCCAAATGATGGCCCGGGGGAGGGCTGAGCCCCCACCAGGCCTGGAATGAAGCGCAAGCTGTTGTGGGTAACTGTTTAGCCGCCTCCTTCTAGACCAGCAGCCATAATACGAGTAAAGCTTTTGTTCTGCTTGGACTGTTCACAAGGGAAGGTGAATTAAAACCGATTTAAATATTAGGTTCTGGCCTATATTTAGCGGCGCCCCCACCCCCACCCATCTGCCAGCTCTTTTTGGAATTCAAGACATCGGGATTAGACACTTCAGGAAGTGGAGGCATCGTTAATTATCAAGTGTTCCTTTCCAGGGCTGTAATTGCCTATGATTATGTCACGAAAGGGCTCAAGGTGCGCTCCTTCAATGGAGCGATTCATTAGTGCTGACTGCGTGCACACTTCTGCCGGGGAGGTGGAGGCAGCCGCCGTAAAGGCTTCTGGCAGATGGCTTATTGTTTTGTATGTTTTCCCCCAGGTTCTCGGTTCCACAGTGGGAACCGGGCCCTCGGAAGGAGGGCAGGAGTGCTGCCGGGCCTGCTGGCAGGGCGCCCAACAGCCGGGCTTTTAGACTGTGGGGAAAAAAAATAAAATAAAAGAAGAATGTCATTGTTTTAAATCGAGGGGCCAGAGAAGCCCTGTTTCCTTGTCGGTGACTCAGTGTACCCCCTTTGCGTGGCCTGGGCGTGGGGAGGGGCTGCTAATTGGTGATGGGCTGGCAGCAGCTCCTTAGAAGGTTGGTGAGGTAGTTTATTGTGCCAACCTGGCCGATAAACACACGTGGGGTTAATTGAAGGGCAGAGGGGTAAATGGTTCGGTGAGTCTCGCCATTCTAGTTCTTGGGTCTCTTGCTTTCTGATGGTTGGACCAGGGGGCAGCTGCCTTAGCAATTCCCTGCTTCAGCTGGCAAGGCTGACTTCCTACAAGACATCCCCAAGGAGAAGCCGCATGGACCTACCCTGATGCAGGCCTGGGTGTTGGAGCACCCATGTGGAGACCCCTGCCAGCACTGAGATGCTTACACTTTCACTGACTCGGTTTTCCTCCTGCAATCTGCATCATTGAGTGTTTTGTGAGATGGAGGAGGACTTTGTGGATTGGTGTTGGGGTGTTGGACATATGGGCTAATGTTGGACTTGTGGGCTTGGGCAGCATTGGGTTGAGATGTTTTCTTGATGTGCACTTACTCTTTATATAAAACTCACTCATACATGAGTTTCTGTGGATTTGTTTCTCTAAAGTACCCAGACTAACACAGTTGGTGAAGCCGGAGGCTTTAGCCCACACCTGATCTCTCCCGTATGGGGTTTTGAAGTCCCTGGAGAAAACCGGGTCATAGATGTTTGCCAACACGCAGGAGTGTGTTGTGTATACTTTCTGTTTCCGAGGCTCTGTGCGAGTATGTTCTGCCCGTTATTGCCTTCAACTGGACAACGACCTCACGAGAAAGCTGTCACCACCGCGGTCACCAGCTTCGTTCTGCAGGTGAAGACTCGGAGGCCTTGTTTCAGAAAGCTGCCTGAGCCTTTGTCGTCGGCAGTTGAACCAAGATCTGAGCACAGCCAAGTCCCCTGCGTGCGCTCCCTTCTGCCCACCCCCAGTCTTAGCCTTTGGGCGTGGGTGACCCAGATAAGGCAACCAGTCAAAGATCATTGCAACCTATGAAATTTGTGCTGATCATCGAATAGTAGCACAGATGGTTTGTGCGCCACTGAGAACCTAACGCTGTGGATCTGAAGCCAGTGTCGCATTCTGCTCTGTCAGGCGTTGGGGTGGCCATGGATCAGAATGGACTTGACAGTGCCGTTCGTTGTGTGTCCTCAAAACAACTGGCCTGAAAATGCTCTGCCTCGGGTTCAAGTGGCCTGCGTGTTGACGTCGTCTCTTTCCAGCCCTGCAGTCCGGCCACAGGGCTTTTGAGCAGCGGTGGCATGAAGTTCATGCGGAGGTTGACGTGCTGGCTGATCCCAGTCAGCGAGGAGCTTCCACAGCCTGCCCTGGCAGGCACAGCCCCCAGTCTCCCTGCCTCGGAGAGCTGGGTGCCAGGAGAGGCCACTCCAAGTCCACTCTTCAACCTGTGGACATGTGCACTTATGCACACACCCAGCGGTGTGACCTCTTCTTGAAATGTTCTCCAAGTAAGAGGGACCCTTAAAGAAAACCCAAATGCTGTGGTTCCAACTCATGCCAGCTCCTTGTACTGCAGAGCAGAGCTGCTCTATCAGGTTTCCTTGGCTGCGATCTTCCGAGAAACAGCAGACTGGCAGGCCTTTCTTCATGGTGCCTCAGGGTGGATTTGAACCGCCGGCCTTTAGGTTAGTCGTGGATTGCAAGCTGCTTGTGCCACCCAGGAACTTTGGCTAGTTCGTTGTCGTCGTCGTCATCATCATCGTCGTTGGTGGCCATTGAGACACCGAGTGCTGACTTGCGTACAGAGTAGAACTGCTCTGTAGAGTTTTGAAGACTTGGACCTCTTGGAACTAGATCCCCAGACCTCCCTTCCGAGATGCCTCAGGGTGGGTTCAAACCACCAACCATTCGGCCAGCCATCTGTACCACTCAGGGACTTGATCACATGAGCGGATCTGTTTTTTAATGACAAAGCAGGATGAGAGGATTGGGGAGGAGGGGGAGGAGGAGGAAGGAGATGATGGGGGAAGAAAGAGCATTGGAATAGGGAGAGGCGCGGGATGAAAACGAGGGATGAGAAAGGGAGGGGGGAGTCAGGTGTCAAAAGCAGGCTACAGAGCGTGTTTATGTTTTCTGAAGCCCCATCTCTTCTTTTGATGTTGGCCATGGGCTGTAGGTTCACTTTGACTTATGTGAAATTGCCAGTATCCGACTGTAGTTCTGACCCACAACAATGGCGATTTCAGATGGTGCAGTTTGTGCGTTGGGCTGCTGCTGCCTGCAAGGTCAGCAGTCTGAAATCACCAGTTGCTCAGCAGGAGCACGACTGGACTTTCTACTCCTGTGAAGAGTTACATCTCCGAACCGCAACGGGGCGGTTTCTACCCTGGCCTCTAGAGTTGCTGTGAGCTCACACGAACTCAATGGCAGTGAGGGTTGGTTTTGTTTGTTTGTTAGCCTTTAACCTGAGTGACCAATTGGTTGGGGTTCTAGGTGGCCCTGAAGCCCTGGGCCACGCAGACGGAGTCTTAGTTGGCCCATTTTGGAGGGGTTTGGTTGGGATTCCAAGGTTTTTTGTTTCAACCCCACTTCCCCTTTTTCGGACCAGGTTTTGGCGGCGGGTTTCGTTCAGGTTGTTGGTTTTGGAACCCTTCGGGGGGTTTTTTTTTTCTTTTGTTTTTGCGTGAGTCAGAATCCACTCCCGGCTGTGGGTCAGGTTTGTTTGGTTTGAGGCCACGTGGGCACTTCTTGGCGCCCCGGCACTGCTAAACCCCCTGCGTTTCTCAGTCTGGCCTCCCTGCTGTTCAGAGCCCTGGTCCTCACCCCTCTTTCCTCCCACATGTAGCTCCAGCACAGCCTGCCTGCCTGGGTTCTCACGGAGCTGACACCCTCCCCCAGCCCTGTTGCTCCCCCACCCTCCACTCGCCGTCATCCCCTCACTCCGGGCTGTCACTCGCAGCCCCTGCATCTCCTAATAGGGAAGTTTCCTCTGGAAGAGACAAGCAGGAGGCCGGCATCATTTTTATGTATGTGTGTAATTCTTTCAGCCCATTCCAGAGACGGAAAGGGGCAGCGGCGGCGGTGGGGTGGCAGAAAATGTGTACCACGTGTAGGAGAAGGCAGCAGAGGCTATCACTGGATAGAAGATGGCAGGCTAGGCTGGACACCTTAATCACTAAAACAAAACAAAACAAAACACCTCGCTGCCACCAAGTTGATTCCAATTCATAATGACCCTATAGGACAGAGTAGAATCGCCCCTGTGAGTTTCCAAGAATCACTCTCTGCAAGCACCCAAAGCCTCATCTTTCTCCCTCAGTGGGGACAGTGGTTTCCAACTGCTGACCCTGCAATCGGCA